GTTTCGTCACCGGTGATAATTTTTGAAAAAAAGTTTTGATCATTTCGGGACTCTTCTTTCAAAGCACAGCATGCTTCCACGTGACCTTGTTTTTGTTCAGCAGTCAGCAGTCATGGCACGAATTTCGCAGCCACCCTTTTTTCATTCCCAAATCTTCTGTCAAAATTCGCTGAACTGAGCTCCAAGTCACTCCCGACAGCTCCACGATTTCTTCAATGGTCCGTCATTGATCTTCCTTGATGATTTCACGAATTTATCAACAGTTTCATGTGTTCGGGCTGTGGAAGGACGACCAGAACGAGGTTTGTCATCAATTGACATTTCACCATTTTTGAAACGGGAAAACCACTCAGACACTTGAGTTTTCCCCATAGCATCGTCCTTGTATGCCGTTTTTAACATTTCAAGAGTTTCTGTTCCACTTTTCCCGAGCAAAAAGCAGAATTTCACTGCCACACGCTGTTCACGAAAATCAGCCATTGCAAAAACGACGATCACACAAAACAGTTGTCACTATAAACTCTGCTGAAACTAGTCCTTACCTTCTGAAGCAACGGTAGTCGGCTTATCGACTCAGGAATGTTAGCTCTATGCGCTCATAGTAGCAAAACGCGGTACTACAAAAACTCTGCCCACAAAAAAATTAGTTCGGTTTCTTTTGGGTACCCCATCGTATGTTAAGTTGCCATTATTGAGACCAAGTGACTGTAAATGTACCATTACAGGTGGAAGACTGTACTACAGTCATCCTGCCGGAGCCAGTTCTACCTGATCCCACAGAGACTTGGGTGACTAATGATGCAGCTCCTGATCTGACAACTGATGACACTGAGATTCCATCATCACCTCGCATAGAAACATCAGTTCCACGTATTGCTACTTATTCTCATAACAAAAGAAAAATAAACCACGTAGTAGAGAGATTATCTAAAAAGAAAAGAATTAAGGGTGTTGCAGAATCAGTAGGCTGTGTTTCTTCATCAAAGTTCTATGACGCTGTAAGTGAGCAGGTTGCAGCTCAACGAGATGCTCGTCAAGAACACATAATACATCTGGAAGCTACTGAAAACACAAAATTTGGAGTGTTTCAAACTGTGCTTGAATCAAATTCTGCAGTCCAAATGGATAACATTGATCTCATGAAGGCCCAGGTAAGAAAATTGTCATTTTAAGGTATGTAGATAAGACTTGAAACTTTCATGATAACTTGAGGGGACCAGTCCCATCAGTCTGGAATAAAAAGAAGTTTTCTAATTCAAATTGACAGTCCTCCAGAAAGACTTTATTATACCTAATTTTTTACCTACTAATAGATCATAACCAGATATAACCATATAGGGACTGGTCCTGGGGGAGGAAGCTATTATCATCATCATCATCATCATCATAATCATCATCTGTGCTGTATGTTGTGTCTTGCTCCTGTGACTGCATGTGTTATAACACACGCGGTCACAGGAGCAAGACACAACACAAAGCAAATACACACACGAAAATAGAAAGAGTGCTCCG